TGGACGCAGATATTTCTTGAGATAGGGACAGGGAAAGCTCTGGCTTCGTGTGGACGTAGCCTGAGAATCCTGAAAAAAATGTTTCCACAAAATATTAAGAGGTAAAAACTGTTTCCAACATTGATAATCATAAGAATAAGAAAATTATTAATACTACTATTATTAATAATAGAACACCGATAATAATTGAGCACCAAATCAGCATATTAGAATGATATTCAACTATGCCAAGGTAAATACAGTTTTCCATTCTATGGCACCTTTAAGGATCATGTGACACTGAGGACTGCAAAACTGCTAGGGGTGTGAACATTCCTGGTTTCTTAAGTTAGTGGTATTACCCCCTGCTAGTGATGTGACATTTAAACCGAGGCATCGGAGCTTGTGTCGAGAATAAATGGGTGTGCCAGATGAAGCCTCGATTCGAAGCTTGTGTTGTGTTGTTAATTGTCATAGAAATCACGTGACCAATGACAAATGAAGCTTCACTTTCTGTCCAGTCACGTGCGCGATTCACTTTGCGTGTCGAAATGTTCGATCCCCCAGACCTCGCTGTTTTCGAGACACTCGAAGCTTTGAATCTTTTCCCGAAACAGTCAGAGGAAAGCCTCAGTGCTTCACGAGGCTTCATTTGCCCATCCCTACCCCCTACATATTTCATTGTGCGTGACATGATTTACACACAGCGTGTGTCTTCTCCAGGTCGTGCTCAGGTTGTTCACACCACACCACGTTGTTCGACAAATCACGTATGCGACAAATGACGTCAGAAAAGCGTCAGTACATTATAATCGGTTATGGTCTATTACTGAACCGATACCGAATCGTCCTCGTCTGCATCGCGATGCATCGAAGAAACGATTAATTTCGACGCCCCTAAAAGCTGCATTTATTTGATCAAAATACAGTAAAAAAAAAAAAAAACTGTAATACTGTAAAATATATTTTTAATTATAACAATAATTTACTATAATTGGTTGATTCCAGAAGGATCATTTGACAATAGCTATGTTTCCATTATGCGCATTTTGGAAAACGCCAAGATGCGCACAAATTCAAAAAATGTGCATAAAAACACGTATGCGCACAACTGTGTCAGATAAACTTTTTATCCAATAAGACAAAATATGCATAAACTAAACACATTTACCGAATAAAATCCTCCATGTGCATCAAAAAAGTCATGTGACTTTGCGCTATGGGACGGGTTACCTGGACTAACCAGTGGACCGATCTCGTTGCACAGCATCTGAAATGTTGTTATGGTCATTCTTAAATGCCCGAGTAAAGTCTGTGGTCAAAGTATTTCTGGATAATTGCCTCCCAGAACTGTCTTACATCACTGCGTTCCCAAACAGCTCCGAAAGCAATGACCGCATTTATTGTGTTTCTTCTGCTCGCTCTAAAGGCACAAGTAATTTATTATATATGAAAAGTATTATATTCAGAGGCTTCTCCTACTTTTCTTAGTGATATTTAGTGTCAGTTTATCAAGAAGTGATGATTTTGTCCACTTTGTCTCAGATGGAAATTATGCTTAATTCGCAAATGTTTTATGCGATATTACAATTTTGCGCATAAGTTAAATTCTGAAGACTGAAGACTGGAGTAATGATGCTGAAAATTCAGCTTTGCACCATATATATATATATATATATATATAACAGTAAAAACAGTCAAATTTATTATTTATTATTATTTTACAGTTATTTTAAATATTACTGTTTTTACTGTATTTTTATCAAATAAATGCAGCCTTGGTGAGCATAAGAGACTACTTACAAACACATTTTTAAAAAATCTTAATTATTACAAACGTTTTGAGTATAAATAGGGAAATACTGATTTCATGTTGTCTTTAAACTTTTATCAGTGCCTTATAAAGTCGATCCCAGCAGGCCAACAGGTGCACGAGCTGCTGACAATCACTAAAATGTGTTTGTGAGTGTGTGCACCACCGAATCCACACGTGCATTTACATATTTGAAAAAAAAGAGCCCACATGCACCCAGTGTCACATTGAGATGTGTGCGGAGACAATAGGCCCAGCAGGTCACCGTGGAAACAGGCTTGAGAGGGTGGGGGGGGGCAGCAGCTGTTGCATCAGATTAGTTAAGATTCGGGAGACCCTCCCCCTTTACCAACAGCACCTTCACACCCTCACTCGCTCTCTGTCGCTCCATTCTCTCGTTCCTACCTTCACAGGATTCACCGCGGTGAGTGTCACTTCATATAAGGGTGACTCTGTAGTGAGGGACTACTTGAAGTGTCTTCGAAGTATGTTTCATCTAAACAGTACCTCACGTTTTGATCGAATCACAGACTTGATAAACCCTCAAGTGGTCTTTTATGTTTTTAAAGGCAAAATGATCATTACAACATGAAAAACAAAGAACTTTTAAAGAATGTGTTTACATCATTTCAACACAAGAAATTAATGTGTTAAAGGCAATATGAAAGCAAACTGAGCCTATTTACACTACCATGCAAAAACGTAAGATTTTTCATTGTTTTGGAAACATTAAAAGTCACTTATGCACACCAAGGCTGCATTTATTTGATCAGAAATACAGTAAAAACAGTAATATTGTGAAATATTACAATTTAAAATAATCATTTAAAATTATTATTAAATTTATTTATTTTTTTTCAGCAAGGATCCATTCAATTTATCAAAAGTGGCAGTAAATACATTTATAATATTACCAAAGATTCATATTTCAAATAAATGCTTTTCTTTTTAACTTTCTATTCATCAAAAAATCCTGAAAAAATGTATCATGGCACAAAAGTATTATGCAGCATTTTCAACATTGACAATAATAAGAAATGCGTCTTGTATTTTTTATCAAATAAATGTAGCCTTGGTGAGCTTTTATTGGAGGTTAATTTTTCCGAACATTTTGAGTATAAATAGGAATAAGGATTTCATGTTGTCTTTAAACTTTGATCAGTGCCTTATAAAGTCTATCCAGCAGGCCAACAGGTGCACGAGGACACTAATACGTGTTTGTGGATGTGTTTGTGAGTGTGTGCACCACCGAATCCACACGTGCATTTACATATTTGAAAAAAAAGAGCCCACATGCACCCAGTGTCACATTGAGATGTGTGCGGAGACAATAGGCCCAGCAGGTCACCGTGGAAACAGGCTTGAGAGGGTGGGGGGGGGCAGCAGCTGTTGCATCAGATTAGTTAAGATTCGGGAGACCCTCCCCCTTTACCAACAGCACCTTCACACCCTCACTCGCTCTCTGTCGCTCCATTCTCTCGTTCCTACCTTCACAGGATTCACCGCGGTGAGTGTCACTTCATATAAGGGTGACTCTGTAGTGAGGGACTACTTGAAGTGTCTTCGAAGTATGTTTCATCTAAACAGTACCTCACGTTTTGATCGAATCACAGACTTGATAAACCCTCAAGTGGTCTTTTATGTTTTTAAAGGCAAAATGATCATTACAACATGAAAAACAAAGAACTTTTAAAGAATGTGTTTACATCATTTCAACACAAGAAATTAATGTGTTAAAGGCAATATGAAAGCAAACTGAGCCTATTTACACTACCATGCAAAAACGTAAGATTTTTCATTGTTTTGGAAACATTAAAAGTCACTTATGCACACCAAGGCTGCATTTATTTGATCAGAAATACAGTAAAAACAGTAATATTGTGAAATATTACAATTTAAAATAATCATTTAAAATTATTATTAAATTTATTTATTTTTTTTCAGCAAGGATCCATTCAATTTATCAAAAGTGGCAGTAAATACATTTATAATATTACCAAAGATTCATATTTCAAATAAATGCTTTTCTTTTTAACTTTCTATTCATCAAAAAATCCTGAAAAAATGTATCATGGCACAAAAGTATTATGCAGCATTTTCAACATTGACAATAATAAGAAATGCGTCTTGAGCAGTAAATCAGCATATTAGAATGATTTCTGAAGGATCATGTGACACTGAAGACTAGAGTAATGATGCTGAAAATTCAGCTTAGATCACAGAAATAAATTACATTTTAAAATATAAGTTCAAATAGAAAACAGCTATTTAAAATTGTAATAATAATTCACAATATCACTGTTTTTACTGTATTTTTTTAAATTAAAAATTCACCCATAAACATTTTACAGGAATCGGTCCCAACGGTCCCCTTTTTACTTGTTGTTCCAATAGTTCTGGTTAGTTTAGAACAAATTTATAGGACACCCACTTCTAAAACTTCCCTTTGTACTGCGTATCTTACTCTTTCTCCTCTTTTGAAAGGCCGTCCCCTTCTCGTGCCCTCTACCCACAGGAGGTGACACGGCCTCCCTCACTCATCTCCTGCCTCTACTCGTACGCTCTTCTCTTTCTTTAGTCCCTGTTGTCTACTATTCAGCTCAGCGAGCCACTCTCACACAAAAGAAAAAGCAGCTACACAAGGACTCCATCTTCAATTCTTTACCACCGACACCAAATATGACAGTAACAAATGGAACAAGTGGAGACAGGCGGAGAATAAAAGAGATATCATGTGTGCATCAAAACACACCTTTTCGAAAAATGTCAAATGTCAAAGAACGCACCAACATCAAGAGCACATTGTTGGGTGATACTACTGTATTTTTCTGGTTCTTTTAAAAGTTGTACTATGTAAACATACTCTAACATTCACAGCCATTTAAAGAAGCTAAGATGCTACTGACATCACAACCACAAGCTCATTAACATATGACCGCCCATATTTCAAAAAACACCTATTCGGTATTCAGAAACTTGACCTGCCTATCTGGCCAAAAGTATGACTGTTATATGTAAGTCTTAAAGGTACAGCAGAAAAAACTGACTGTTTCAATGTGTTACTTGCAGTTTCTGTAATTGTTTGTGAAATTTGCTAGCAATTTCTGAGTGAAAATTGCTTTTGAAACCTTCTCAGTGTGGTAATGAAAAACTAGATTCAATTATGAAAGAAATTCATGCTAGTGTAGAATATGCCCCTTGAACTCACCTTTCCAAATTGATCGAAATACTGTTTCACATCTTCGATGGTGGTGTTGACAGACAATCCTCCAACAAAGATCTTCTTTGTTCTTGTTACCAGCTGAAAACACCAGAAAAAAGGCAAATAATGAGACGATGAAATAATCAGGTGCATCAACACGATTTTCAACAAGAAAACTAGGGTGCTATTTAAATACACATGAAGAGTTTGGTTCCAAAACGTGATAAACGCCTTTTTTTTTTTATTGAGTTTCCGCCAAAATCAGTATTGTATCTGGTCGGTATTGAAAAGTCCGTTTTTAATTTTACTCAAAATGTGATATCCGCCGAGTTATTCTGTCATGTTTTCTCCCTTTTTTTCCAAACCGCGACAAACGCCAGTCTCCCTTTTCTGCAGACTGCGATATATCCGCTCAACCAATCACAGCGCACTATTCCACGCACCGTAAACAGTAACAACCAATCACAGCGCACCACTCCACGCACTCTAGACAGTAATGGTGGCGCTTTGAATACACCCGGCATCCTAGTTTTCCTCATCTATTTTGTACTTTGTGATCAACAAACAAACAAAAAAATTAGGGCTGCACGATAAATCGCATGTGATTGTCATGCGCATCTCGTCAGTAAAGCCGGTTCTGTGATTAATAGTAAATCTCCATCACGTGCTTTCAGATGGAGCGGCATTTAATACACAGAGCCATAGATCACTGCTAT